TTATTACAATCTTTTAATTGGCAAGCAAGTAAACAATTCGGCAAAGGTCGAAAGTGTTGCAAATGGGCCGCTCAGAGTAGTGGACATTTATGTAACATACACGAAGTGTCCACCCCTGGATATTACATTTTTTTTTTGTTTTTTTTTCGGCGACCAAAATTTTTCTTATGGTAACCATTTTACAATTGAAGGTCACCAAAAGGCGACTTTTTGAAAAAGTGAGCTTGGAATGCTGTCATCAATATGCAAATCATCAGAAACCTCTAGTAAAGTACATGAATGTGCAAAAAACATTGTTTGAACCAAAACTTAATATGCAACCTACTTTCGTAGCCATGAAATTTATTAAGATTATATTGCGACAAAATTTATACACTTCANAAAGGAATGTATGGAAATAGGATTGATCAAGTCAAGTCCAAATAAGCGTAAATCTACCTCAGTTGTTTACTTGGTTGTCTCTGCAGCTCAAAATGGCCAATTTGATCGATTTGAAAGGTTTTGCATACCATTGGGATTTGTTACCCAGTCTCAGCAGCTTTGTAATAAATCATTTCTGCTACCAGACATCTGAGTCTCTTCCTTCTCTTTGTCTTGCCCGTTATTACAATCTTTTAATTGGCAAGCGAGTAAACAATTCGGCAAAGGTCGAAAGTGTTGCAAATGGGCCACTCAGAGTAGTGGATGTTTATGTAACATACACGAAGTGTCCACCCCTGGATATTACGTTGTTTTTTTTTTTGGTGACCAAAATTTTTCTTATGGCGACCATTTTACAACTGAAGGTCACCAAAAGGCGACTTTTTGAAAAAGTGAGCTTGGAGAGCTGTCATCAATATGCAAATCATCAGAAGCCTCTAGTAAAGTACATGAATGTGCAAAAAACATTGTTTGAACCAAAACTTAATATGCAACCTACTTTCGTAGCCATGAAATTTATTAAGGTTATATTGCGACAAAATTTATACACTTCACTTTTGTTTCTAAAAGTGGCAATCGACTGTTAATAGAAAAAGGTTAAATTGTGGCTTATAATAAGTTAGATGTCCCTTATATATTGACTTCAAGCTCAGGTCTAATTCTTTTTGTGGCAGAATGTCATGGTATA